GGGCTGCCAAGCGTTGCCATGGCAACGGTTGCTATGGGAGTCTGGGAATTGCCACGGCAACGCCACCCCAGTTCCTGTGGGCGGCTGGGACACGTTGCCATGGCAACGGTTGCTATGGAATTCTGGGAATTGCCACGGCAACGCCGCCCCGGTTCCTGTGGGAGGCTGGGACATGTTGCCATGGAAACAGTTGCTATGGAATTCTGGGAATCGCCGTGGCAACGGCGCCCCAGTTCCTGTGGGATGCCAAGTGTTGCCATGGCAACGGTTGCTATGAGAGTCTGGGAATTGCCATGGCAACGCCACCCCAGTTCCTGCGGGAGGCTGGGCCACATTGCCATGGCAACGGTCGCTCCGGCATCCTGGCCACGCCGCCCCATCAGTGTGGGCGGCCAAGCGTTGCCGTGGCAACGGTCGCCGTGGGAGTCTGGGAATCGCCACGGCGACGCCGCCCCACTCCCTGCGGCCGCCCGGGCGTCGCCATGGCGACGGTCGCTACGGAACGGGGGCGTCTCCGGGAGGAAAAGAGGGGGTGTGACACGTTGCCACGGCGACACCGCCGGGTCCCCGAACAAACATCTTGGGGATGCTGAGCGTTGCCATGACAACACCAGGATGCCGTGGGGGCGCATTTGGTCGCCATGGCGACCCCGTGGAGGGACGTGGGGGCGCGTTCGGTCGCCATGGCGACCCCATGGGGTGGTGGGCTGCCGACTGTCACGGCTCCCAGTCGTTGTCGTGGTGCTGGGCGGCGATGATGATGACGACGGTGAGGATGGTGCAGAGCACGATGGCGGCGATGCCCACGGCCAGCGAGATGAAGGAGAAGTTCCGCGCCTCCCGCGAGGCGATCTCGGCCGACACGATGTCCCCCCGCGCCACCGCCGTGCGCACCTGGGCCGGGAAGGGCGTGGTCGGCGTCGCCCCGCCACGCCCGCCACGCCCCCGGTGTCCCCGCCCCCCTCACCTGCACGGCCTTGACGATGGCGACGACGCCGGTGGGCCAGAAGCAGCAGAGGGTGGTGAGGACGGCGATGGGCAGGTAGTCGTGGGGGGCGGAGCGACGCCCCTCCGGCCCCGCCCCTCCCGCCGCCGGCGGCCCCACCCCCAGGGGCGGGCCCAGCGGCGGCCCCGCCCCCCCTCCCAGGGCGGCGCCGCCGGGCAAAGGGCCGGGCCCGGGGCCGGGGGGGGCTCCCCCGAAGGCCTGGGGGGGGTGAGGGGGGGGTGAGGGGGCGTGGCCAGCGCGGGGCACGCCCCCAGTGTAAGCATGTCCCACCCCCACTCCAGGACCACACCTCTCTGCCACGAGCCACGCCCCAAATCCCATGGCCCCGCCCCAAATCCCATGGCCCCGCCCCAAATCCCATGGCCCCGCCCCTCCTCTGCTTTGCTTCACCCCCCCGTTGTGACCCCGCCCCCTCTGCTTTGCTCCACC